TTTGTGATTTAAGGATTTAGGATCGAAGTTCTTATTGGAAATCATAGATTGGATGTTATTGTGGAGAAAAGATTTATTTTGGCCTGAAACTTTGTTAAACCTTGTTTTTGAGAAAAAGGTTTAAAAAGTGGCATTGTATGGAACCTGATTGGTTTAAAAGGTATGAGAATTGAATAAGCTAAGTGATAGCTTGAATTTGAGAAATGACTTGGTATTTTGGTATTATGGATTCATATATTTGTTATTTATATGAATACTTGATTTTGTAAAGGTTTTGGTGATCCTTCACCCTGCAATGACATGAATAGGGTATCTCACTAGACTTTATAGTCTAACCCTCGTTTTGTGATTTTAAAATGTGTATTGCAGGAGGTGTGGAAGGTAAAGGAAAGGAAAAGATTTAGTATTTTTCTTACATGCATTTTGGGTGAAGATTTGCTTTTGATGCGTAGCTCTGATGATTAGTACAAGATTGTATTTGGAATTTTTGGACCTTGTGTTTGGTCATAGTAGATTTCTTGTACTAGTGGACCTGAATGTATATGAATATGTATTTCTTTGGTATGAAATATGTATTACATGCAATGTGTGGGCTGGGGCGTTACAGAATATGAGAGAATGAATGAAGATCTGTAAGTACAAGTTTACAGATTCTGATATTCAAAGAATCATGAAATATGTATCAATCAAAGTAAAAAAAATATCAGAAAAAAACAACTTTGATTACAAACGAGTGTATTATCACCGAAAATGATTGTAAATAAGAGACGTGATAATAACAGTTTGAAGAACAGCTGAAACATGTATTAGACTTATGTACGATGAGAAATTACGCAAGTAAAATCTCAGGAAATACCTGCTTAGAAAATGTACTCGTTTCAGAAAAACAATTTCATTTCCGAAAAACATTTATTAAAATTTCTAGAGACTCCCCCTAGAAAATAGATTTTAGTAATATTTCAGTTCAGCTCAAAATAAACAAAAATGAAACATTTAAGGCATGGGTCATGAACTGATGTATTTAGAAACCATATTGTTTCAGCGCGGGTCCTGAACTGATTTATTCAGAAGCCTCGTTTGTTTTAGCACGGGTCCTAAACTGAGTGTTTTGAAACCTTGTTTGGACAGTTTACAAACTCCCCCTAAATTTGTGCATCATAAGTATGATTTTCTGATCAGCACAATAATGACACACCTGCAAAATCGGATCAAACAGATTTTTGTACCCAGACGAACTTGGGTCCTTCTTTGTTAGTATCAGGTTGTGGGATATTATAACTGCCAAACCATCTATTCTTATTAGATGTTTTCTTTTTAGCACTTTTAACAGGTTGATCATATATACAATAAGTGTTTTATAAATATAGTGTTTTAGTAATTATTAATCTTGTGCCATTATGCAACAAGAAAATGACACTTCATTGTCTATGAATTTGGTTGGAGGAATTATAGACAGTTAATTCAATAAATATTAGTTTATTTCTTAGAATTGCAATAGAGTTTCTACGAACAAAACATCCAAGTTCTCCTTGATACATTTTTTTACGGAACCAAGAATATTGAGAGTGTAGTATTTATTTTTGATGTATTTTTTTTACATCTACAATAGTTATATATTTGGGTTTATATGTGCAAATGAAATTAATTTTAATACCGAAAAATAAATTTCTATTAAAGTTATACTCAACCAATATTTAATATGATATAGTTCATTTTCAATTTGTTCTATTTTCCATAAGAGCAACTATTAGTGAATTTCTTCTTTGATTGTCCATTATCACATCGGTCAATAGTTGCAATTCTGCACCAACTATTCGGAAACCTTTCCCCACTCTTGCCATGAGTCTGACCCTTTTCACAACCCCATCCACATGGTGTATAGTGCTATGTGTGTGTGAATCAATGTGTTTTAATTCACTTCTCTTTGGAGTTCTTTCCATGACCCCGTTCAGGCGTTTGGTTTAGCTATGGAATGAAATTGAATTCCACACATTCCGCCATTCATGGATTTGATTATTCCGTCACAATTGAGAAGGAAATTTCATTCCATCCCATTTTCTCAAAAGACAAAATTATTCCTATCTTCCATACATGATTTGAACCATTGCCAACGTCATATTCCTATCTTCCCTACTTGATTTGAATCACTGCCGACCACCACCGATCTGAGCCACCACCAACTACCACCAATATGAACTAGCGCCGATCTGAACCACTGCCAACCATCATCGATCTGAACCACCGTCGATGATCACCAATATGAACCACCACTGACCACCGATTTGAACCACCGTAGTTGGATGTTGGTTTCAAAATTTTCAAAAATGGGTATTTTGGTCGCTTACTAGCTACATTATGTGAACTAAACAGACAGATTTCATCTCAATGTTTGTCAACCAAACAGATGGTCAAATCTGATAACATTTCATTAAATTCCTTCAAAGTCAAATTCTTTCAACATATTTAATTCTATACAAAAACATTATGCGAACCAAAAGCTCCATAGTTTATTCTACTTTTTTTTATCAAACATTAAAAAAATTTATTGTTTTGCAATAAAACTACATAAACAGGATACAATTGATACTATGCAAAAGTTTGGGGGCCAAAAGAAAACGATTTTAGCCTAAAATAACACACACCACATTCAATTGGGTACAAAGGGTTCTTCTTCTTGTTCTTTTGGTTATCAGGTCTCTGTTATTTGAGCAGGGGAATCAATGGAGGGCTCTACACTTGTATATGCTCCAAATTGTCTTCCTGCTTCACTTCCGCTCTATTCACCTCTGAAATTCTTAGCTCCTATCAGAAATCCCAAACGTTTCAATCAACTCACCCTAAGTTCTTTGAAAGTTCGTCCGATTCGCATCTCTTCTCTGCACGCTACTGGTAAATTCTATCTTTCTTGTATCTCCGTTGATGTTAGGAGTTTTAGTTTGATGGTTTGTTCTTGTTTTTCATATTCAATGTTAATTAGATTGTGAGATTTTGTGGATTAGCTTTAGATAGTAAGGATTTTCCTTTTGATATCATAGAAGGGATAAAATTAGTATCATATAAGGGATTTGTTGTAATCCTGGTACGGGTATAAATGCGCTAAAGGAATTGGTTGGGATGAACTGGTTGATTTTGGATTCTTTTGTGATTTTTTTTCTTTTTCTGAGAGGGTTTCCAGCTGTTGACATAGGGGCAATCATGATTGAACTAGTGAAAATCAAATGATAATGATATTATAAAATAATAAGATAAAGAGTTGGTTGAATTCTATTGAAGTGTAGCAATTTGAAAAAACTTCTAGAAAATGATAAGAGAAGAGTTGTACAAGAGACTTCCAAAATTTAGCATAAAACGATAAGAGAATCATTAAGAAAATGAACAGAACATAAAAGAGTTAAAAGACAGACAAAATGAAGTAAAATTATATTTTTATGGCATGGAGGTTTGACCAGCAAGGCATGGTTGGGTCTTTTAAGCATTTTGGGTTTGTAGTATCAAGTGTTCATCAAGGAAAAGGGAGAACTTTTGATTTATGTGGTTGAAACGGTATATGTTTAAGATTGAAATCGATGTTCCTTAGATGGTGATAGTGCAAATTTGTTTTTGGAAAAAAACTAATTTTGTGATATTAAAAAATGTAGATGCATTCATATCAACCATGGATGCATTTGGTTTCAACCAATGATGCCTCTTCACTATCAGAACAAGGTCCATTCATACACACTATATGAGTTAGATAAATGGTCCTGTTAACCATAAGTCCATTCTTTAAATTTCTGTGAAGTTATGAAGGGGCATCATTGTTTGAAATCAGATTTCTCTGAACCAACTGGACCAAGCTCATTTGCAGCCATTGAATAGCCAATATCAATAGGCAGGAGTTGTTAAAAGTTCGTGGTCCTGTCTATCTTGAAGCTGGTGGTCTGGCTTTGATTGGAATCAACCAGGTCGAATGGAGTCTCACAGTTTGTTGGCCCATCGAACAGTCTAAAATTGGTTGGCTGTAAATTGATCCATAGCCGGTGGTGGGCAGTGGCTACAGATCAGTTTTCTTTGCACGATGCTAATGAATTTTACCTCACATCTAAGGTTTTGAAATATATCCTGTATTTTGCTTATGTTAAACTCCTCTAATATGGTTTCTTGAATTCAGTTAATTTTTTATTTTATCTAGAATACACGACACCTCCACATTTTTGGACGTGTGATCAAAACCACATATTGAACCACCATGGCTTCTATATATAACTGCTCATAGTCCAGGGTTTGTATGGAATTTGATGATAGATTGGATTGAGGCTCTGGTTTTGCTGAATATTCATAAATTGTATATGTGATTGAGTTGCATCTGATTTTGTCCAGTTTGTATCATATGTGTAATGATAAGATTATTTCTCAATTTTCTTTAATTTTCCCTTTATATTTCTTCTTTTTCTCTCATATAGAACATATACTTTCAGCTACTCAAGAGACTGTTGAAGTTGGTGAGACTGAGTCGCAATTTGTTGAGATTGGGTACATATCTAGTGTTCATGGACTACAAGGAGAGGTCCGAGTGAAGACTAACACAGATTTTCCAGAACTGAGATTTTCAGAAGTACAAGTTTAGAATGCCTGTGTCAATAATTAGAATCACTTTTGTTTTTGAGAATTCATACCTATTCAGTTCCAAATTAGATGTTCATATTAACGACTTACTCTTTAAGAACAATTTTTTTCTACCCTAATCAAGTCCTTTTTGGTTTCAGTGTAACCATTAGATGTTTTCTACAACTAATACAAATGAAGTTGATGTGAATAATTGAATTCGTGAACCATCATACTCGGCTTTTTGCTGCAAAACAAGTATAGTTATTGCAAAACATGCTATAATTTGCAAGAATGAGCGTTTTGGACCTGGTGGAGTGCAATGCAAAAAGAAAAACCCAGTATAAATGCACTTTTTGTCCAAAATGGCTCATTCTTGCAAAGTGTAATTTATTTTTAATTTGAATTTTTTTTATAAGAACAATGGTTTGTTTGAAAAAGCCAGGTATTTAGAATGGTTCAAAAAAATCAATCACTCAAATCCTTGTTAAAAAATTACAGTACTTGTTTGACACTTAGAATTTGAAAGGGGACTCTAATTTTGGGATTGAGATAGTATCAGTTCTTACTTGGGTTCTATCTTTCTGTTGTTTGTCTTTTTAAGTAGATTTTATGTTGTATTTAGCCGGGAAGAAGATGGTTGAAGCGACAAATTTTAGGGAGAGAAATAGTTGAAGAGGTTGAATTGGTGGAGGGAAGAGGACACCATGGAAATAAGAGTTGGATAGTTAAATTCAGCACCGTGGATAAAGTAGAGCAGGTATGCTTACTATAATTGTATCAACAAATGCAAAGTTTGGATCTCATTTTAAGCAAACAAATTGCACATAACTTGAGAAAAGTAATTGGAGTAGCGAATTGCTTCAATAGAGAATAACCTTAAACAAATTTGAGGACACATAACCACCCACTTGTACTATAAAGTGAGATATTATGGTTAAATGGGACCAGAAGATCTCTGCTTACATGTAGATGTCACATATTTGTTGCATGCAACTGTTATTGACTATGACAATTCTAGCTAGGAAAAATATATGTTAGCTCAAGTAAAATGTTTGTCACTGGACTTGAAATTTTATTTTTTGGTCCATACCTTATGTTCCAATCACTTTTTGCCTACCGGACCTTGATTTTCCACCCAAAAAAATAAAAAATAAAGTGACTTGACCAGTTTGCTGTTACTAAATATTATGTTAATTTTCATTGAGAGAAAATGTGTCAAGAAATGGGTCCATTTGACTAGAAAGCAGGACAAGTGGTCAAAAGGTGATTGGAAAATGAGGCATCATCAGATAATACATAAATTTAATAGTAGAGTGGCTCTAAGTATTTTACTTGATCATAAAGTGACCAATCAAATATTTTTCCTTCTAACTAGACTTCTGTTGGCAAGTGCTCCTTGGGGTGGTTTGCCGATTTTATGTATCCAACTGTGTGAATTTAATTAACAAAGTGACATGGATATGTAAGCCAAGTTGAATTATCTAGTGGTTTGAGCAAGATTTGTCTATACCAAAGCCATGATATTTTTAGTGATGTTGGTATCTCATCATTTGTTGATCAGAACCACTACATTTTGTTCTACTTCTTAAATTTTTGTAGGCTCAACAACTTGTCGGGTCAACCATACTTGTATCGAATACAGATAGACCAGAGTTGGAGGAAGACGAGTTTTATGCCCGTGATCTTGTTGGCATGAGAGTAACTCTTAAGGTATTTTAATTTTTATGAGTCTATGACCTGATATTTGTTATATGATTGTAATCGGATTACCCTCATAAAGAATGAGTTTTAAGTTTTATATTGTGTACCTTATGTATTATTTTAGTACGTATGAGGACACTAAAGAGAAAAACATGACTTTTCTTTTTGTTCTCTTAAATTTCTTGTCAAGGCATAGAAATCTTATATGTAATATTTCCTCCATCCTATGAAAATTGCAAAAGTTTGTCCAAGATCATAGTTTAGGAAGATTGTTTGACTATTTGCCAAATGTCTAACATCCCTAACGTTGGGGATCTAAACAATAGCATCAATATATTTATAGTGATGATAGCACACACGTTAGGTAATTTTAACTTGGAACTTCGCAAAAAAGGTAATACTGCAATTTAAGTGACAGAGGAGGTTTTCATACTGAAGTGTCGTGCTTCTCAAGCCTCAAATCATATAAATTAATATTCTACTCCCTCCGTCCCAAAATAAGTGTCCACATTTCTATTTATATTTGTCCCAAAATAAGTGTCCACTTTCAAAAGTAAATAACCAAATTCTCAAATTTACCCTTAATTAATGCACAAATATTTAAGAGTTGTGAAGAGAAAGAAATTAAATGAGGATAAATAGGTCAATCGGTTAACCAAAAAGTGTAATAATTATGTATGCCTAAAACTATGTGCCATTTCAATTGTGGACACTTATTTTGGGACGAAGGGAGTATTAAAATGATTATTTGATTTCCATTTGTTTACATATCATGTTGATTTTCAAATACTAGGATTGATTTATGGATTCCTCCCATCTCATTTCAGGAAACTGGTGAACCAGTTGGAACTGTTGTGAATGTTTTTGACAATGGAGGAAGCGACCTCTTACACGTTAAGCTTGATTCATCATCTGAGATAATAGACAAAAATGGAAAGCTGAAATCAGAAGCACCCCTTGTGTGGGTACCATTTGTTGAAGCAATTGTTCCTCATGTTGATATGAGTAAAAGAGAAATGATGATTACACCTCCTAAGGGGCTCCTTGAGTTAAATATACGCACTGATGAGAGGTCAAAGAAAGAACGTCGACAGATTGTGAGGCAAACTTTTCTTTTCTGCTGTTCGATATTTTCTATTGATTTTCATGTTTAAGCTTGATTCCTACTCCCTTTTCCGGTAATATATTGCAAACAATATCCATTTTGGTATGCCTGAAATTAATTGCAATGTTTCCTTATTTAGCAAAAAATTGAAGTTAAAATTACTTATTTGTTTATTACCATCATTACAAATTACCGATGAGATTAATTTTAACCCCCTTCCCCACATGAAAAAAGGTTTGATTAATTTTTTATGTAACATGTCGTATAAAAAGTAATCATTTTAAAAATTCTATTGTCGTTATCACAATCTTATTGATATTTAGAGAATCCATATGGGTTTTGAAGTTTGATGGTAGCCCTTTTTGACCCCAAAAGTCGAAGCGCCACTCTATCTCCCCCACAACAGAGGGAGTATATTAATCGACACACATATCTTCTTTATAAGTATTTTGTTTGACTAGCATATACAGATAATTGGAAGATTTTCTATACAGTGTCATAAACTATCACAAAGACATTTTTATTGAGATTGTTCAGAGAAACATGTAGGATTCAGACCCTTTATTAAGCATTTTTGCTAATGTTGACCAAATACCCAACCATTCGCTTTACATTTTCTTCAAAGCAAATACATTTTTGGTTGTGCCAGAAACATGTAAATTTTGTTCATGCATATGCTTTCAAAGAAATTTTCATTTGAATAAATACTCAAGACAAGTGTTGCTTGTTTCAGGAATGGAAAGAGAGGAAAAAATTTCAGAAACGGCTTATAGCAGCAAAAAAGAAACTGTGTGAAATGGAACAGAAACATGTTTTTGATGGGTTTAGACATGGAGAGAAAGCCCAAGGGAATCTACTAGCTGATCAGATTGTAGGTGTTAACTCCCAACTGCTTCAAGTAGCATTACAGACTATTGAGACACCTTCTGACAGGTGGTTTCTTTTATGACTTCCAATTATTTTTACCCTTGTTCTTCCCAAAAAACTCTACCCTTCTTGTTGTGATCTGAAGGAATTACTTCCCTACTCCTGCCCCATGAAAATTGCAACAATTGACTCTATATGTAGTTTAAAGAGTGTTGAATGAACATAGGGGAATCTTGTGGACCAAAATCAATGTCATGAATAAATGGCAATGGGTAGAAACATGTGTCATACCACATCATAATCATGTCGATGTCTTTTTGCCAATTAGGCAGTCCTGTAGACAGAACCAACACATGGATTTATGTTACCTCTCTTAATGGTTAATGATGTGTTAGTAGTGCTCAAGTAGTTTAATGCGCTAATTATCAAAATTAATAGTTAGTTGGCTAGTTGAGATTTTGGCTACTACAGGAAAATAGGGTTTTGCCTTGCACCTAATATGCACCATGTGGAAATGATTTTTTTTTTTCAGTATGGGGATGAGGGAGTACTATTTTACCGGTCCTGATTACAAATTCAGTTGATTGAACAATTGCAGTTTAATCATTCATATCATGAGCCCATATATAACCTTAACATTGCTCTCCTAGAATAAAGACAATGTAGTTGATCTACTCGGTGTCCTGATACTCATTTAGGAAGATCTGGGAGACCACACCCAAGGGGAGGGGGAGCGGTTGTGAAACTTTTGCCACCCATGTGTTGATGTAGCCTTGGTGGTTTCACTGGATCATACACAATTGTAGGACTTGAGTTCAGGACCTTTAGGTCATGCTGAACAAGTTCCAACCACCTGATAAACAGCTAGGCTACTCCAAACCCTATTGCTTGCTTTCATTTACGAATCCCTTCTCCTTTTGAGAAAATCTCAGTTATAAGAAACCAATAAAACTTACTTAAAATGACAGCTGTCACACACTCATCTTTTGCATGTGTATGTTTGAGAGTGGAAGGTATCATCTTATTTAGGTAATTAATGAGCTTTATGGCACAGTAGTTGATTAAATTATATGAACATCGCCTAATATGAATCTTGTTCAATTCCTGTGTCCTTTTGGCTCAGATGGCATTTGTCCGAGTTCTTAGCAGCGTATAACACAGAAGCAACAAGAAATGCTTTTAAGGTATCAAAAGGCTCTCTTGTTAGCGGAGATGTAGAGGACACAAGTTCCAAAATAGCAGAGAGGCATAGGGCTTTGAAATCCAATGGGAAAGCTGCCATGCTTTTGGTTGTTGACAGTACAAAACTGCAGAAAATTTCTGACTCTGAATGGACTGATAGTCTTATCCAAAGATTAGTTAAGGTAATACACTAATGTATCTTTGCTCGTGAAGTTCGCCAATCAGAAATTAAGCCTATTTTGAAGTTTTTAACTATTGACTTATGAGGTCAAACCGTCAAACGCACTATTAAGTACATTAAAAATAATGACATACTCCCAACAGGAAGGCTTTATGCTTCAAAGAAAGTCCATATCAATTTTAAATTTGAAAAGTAGTCCGGTTGAAATTGGAAGTCAAAATTTACATCGTCTTTTAGCTTATTTGAATTGGATTGGAGAGTACATGAAATTGCATTTATTTATAATTCTTAACATTGGTTTGTATTTGTGTAAGAAGCATGTAATGCTTTAAGTCTACACATGCTATTTCAAACTTTGCACTTACATAATTTACCGTTTACCAAAATGCTTAACAGTTAAGTGCATATCAGTTAGAGTCACCACTTTCACTAACCTTACTGGGTAAGATTTTTGGCCATCAAAATGGCATCGTATGGAACAATCTTACCCTATAAACGCTTACTGGTAAGACTCGTCGCCCTCACTTACCGGGTAAGACTCTCGTTTCTTGCGTTGCCTCTTACCGAGTAAGATTCCCAGCCCCTGCCATGATAATCCGGTAAGCTAAGTAACCCGATAAGCGCTTATGCGGTAAGCGTTTAGTAAACGGCCCCTTAGACTTGTGTCAACTCCATGGCTTTTTATTCTTGTTTACATGATATTGTTACATGGTGTTTGATATATTATTTTAAACTTCCTTTGGTAGACCAACGATCTTTAAAATCATGGTGTAGCACTTCCGTCCCTGGGAAAAAAAGAGACTGACATTTTAAAGTTATATGTTGTACTCTACAAATGCATAATTGTTATTGATATTGTGACCAGTTCATTTCCAGCATTTGTTTCAGTTTGTAATACTTGTAAGAAGCGTTATGTATTACACAAAAGGGGAATCCACGACAATGATGTATTTGGAAACTAATTTGTTGGACTTGAAAATGTCAATATGTATCTTATGGAACAGGGGAATAGGGGATAGTAGTTTTTTCGCCTTTGCAAGTACAAGTAGCTTATTCTGCAATCGGATCAAATGACCACATTTCGTGTTTGCAGATGGAGAACCATCAAGCCACGCCTTTGATTCTGGTTTCTCCTGATAACACAATCGATGCTTTTCAAAACTTGATGTCAGACAATGACTACTTCGGCTTTGACCCTGAAAAGGTTATAGAATTCTTTATTATATATTACTATTTTTTTTTCTTTCCTTGTTTTGTTCAAGTTGGCAGCATGTTACTTCTCCTCACACACATACACACACAAGGTAAATAAAACCAAACGAGTCCAATATATCCCACCCGGAGGTGGAATCCCCCCGGGGGGGGGGGGGGGAGGGGGTGCGCAGATCTGTCCTCTACCCCGGAGAGTAGCATGGTTGTTTACATGAAGGCCCCCATCTTGCAAAACATGTGTTCTAAAATGAAAGCCCAAAAAGTCCTAACAGTGTGAAAAAAGAAGAATTGGAAAAGGAAAGAAGATTAAAGATTAGATATGAAAATGGAAAGAGGACTGAGGCTAGAGAAATAAGCAGCACCATATAATCAAAAGTTGGTGCCAAGGAACAAAACAAAGGTAAGACAATAACATTTCCCCTAGTCTATCTTAGGACTTTGGTAGCCTATCTTCGGGCTCACTTCCCTACTCCCGACCTCTTTCTCTTGAGCTCCCTTCCTCCAGTTGAATCTAGCTACATGTTTGCTACCCAAATCTCGCGTCTCTTGTAACTCTGACACACACAAAAGAGAGAATGCAAGAGAGAGTTATGCAGTGATTCTTAACAACTTTGATTGATTTGCTAAATTATATTATTGTTTTTAGGGAGAGGATAAATTGGCATGCTAGGTGTTGAATATAAGTGGAGCATATTATTCCATGATCTATTTAAGTGCCCAATGAATCATCTAAGTTGATCCACTGAGCCCTTAAATGACAGAACACGCTAATTTGATTCATTTAATTTGATTGAGATGAAATCCATCTAATTTGTGAATACCATGGCATCTGGCCCTTTTGGCATTGTTATGGGGTCTTGCAAAGCGCCCCTCCACCTAGACAAACTTTAGGCCTTCCGGCCAACTAGCGCAACCCCAAGGAACTGTTAGCACTTGTAAGATTCATATATATCAAGAACCATAAATAACCAATGGATTAGTACGTTCACAAGTGTTGTCTTGTTTAAAAACCATGTGGTATTCTGACACTTGATAAATCATCTCACATTGAAAATTTATAAAAAGATTAGAAGTGAAGAACACAGGCAAAATTGAACAAATACATGAAGACAGGAAAACTTTGGCAATAAAACAAACAAGTTTTCATCTTTAAGTTTTAGTTTGTCTTATTTGTGTAGCACAATACATGTTCTATCACAAAGTTGAGTTGGTATGCTTACAAGACTTATACGGTACAAGTGCATTTTTACTTGTATGGTACAAGTTATTTTGTATGAATATCTGTTCTATATCACGTCTAGGTGGTATGCTCACTACAAACAAGTGCCACCATAATTGCAAGCTGTGTTTTATCTTTAAACTTGTTGAAAACTTATCCAACAATAAGTTGTATGGTACAAGTTGTTTTTAACCCTGCTTTTGTTCCATGTGTTATAGGTTTGGCTTTTGGAAGAAGAAAAGTTACCAGTTGTAAGTTCTTTGCTTGGAGAACACAATAAACACAAGATCTTGATGAAATCACCATGGGAAATACTCCAAACACCAGTTGGATCCGGTGGTGTCATTAGCTTACTTTCATCCCACAACATTTTAGAGTCTCTTGCGGCAATGGGCGTTGAGTATATCGAGGTAATACGCATCAAATTCAAGTTTTACTTGCAAAAGTAATGATTTTCTTGATCATGGAGCTTTCATGTTCTTTTCACCAGCACACCTTAATCTTTTTTTCAATCACATAATTAGGTATTCACAACCATATGAATTACATCATCTCCACATTGAGACATGAGCCCACTAATCTATCTAACAAATAGTCAATGACCTATAGTGGCAAAAATAGATAAAATGATTTGTTGAACTTTATGGTTTTTAACGTTTGCATACCTGTGGTGAGATTTAAATTCAAGCTGTTTGTTATCACAAAAATTAGTAGTAAGCTTGTGCAAAGATATGCACTCATACTATCATCTTTCACAAGTAATAAAGTGGTAAATTCCAGATTTAGTCTTTGTTATGATAATTAATCTAGACCTACACCAGCAGGGTTTTAGCCCGTTTTGCTAGCAAAGGGAACAAAATAGAAGAAAGAAATGAATACTTGAAAACATACTTAAATGACTTCTACAAAGTTCAGAAACAAAATCTTACACTAGTTAACGTGAGGCTACTTTTTTTTTCAAAGGAAAACCAGACAAATTTATAAAAACCATAACGAAAATACAAAGTTTAGGCAGAAAGCCGCAAACAGCCAAACGGAAAAGCAAAGAACTTGGTCACCACACCGTACCAAGCCACAGAAAGCCAGAAAGTACAAAGCCCAACAGACAAAAACAAACTATAAAACAGGAGTAAAAGGAGTTTAAGCCAAAGAAAAGCCCCGTCAACCACCCTCCTAACCCACCATGCAAAAGGTCACCCCTCATTTATAACGCCATTCCTTTCAGCCCTGCTCTTCTTCCAAGCCACACGAATAGAAATTTTGTTCTTAATTTCCTTAACAAGTTGCACAGCCGTTCGTTGATTCTCACTAAATAGTCTCCTATTCCGCTTTTGCCAAATATAGTAGACCGGGGCCGCAAGCGCAAGTTTCTGCATTAACCGTTTAGGTGATCTCCTTGTATCTGATATTACCTCCATGATATGGTCCCAAGAATCTGGCATACTCATCCAATCCAATTCTTGTAAAATGTTCTCCCAGACCTCTTTTGTAGAACGTTTAACGTGAGGGAAGTTAAGTACAAAAAATAACAGAATAAAGATAGAAGTGCCTAAAATAAAGCTAATAATTCCTGAAATGAAATGCTTAGAATTAAACAAAGATAATATGCACATATTTTTTGATCGCATCATCCGACAAAAATCTTTGAGACTACAGCATTAGAAAACCATGCTGCAACCATTTTTTTCCTGAACAACATGATCATTAAGAGTAAAGACATCTAAAAAGACCAAATTTTAACCAACTCCATGAGTCGCAGGACTAAAAACTACTTCATCCGACCCTAAATAAATGTCCATGCTTCTATTTTAGTTTGTCCTGTCTAGTTTCAAAAGTGAGTGTCTACCTACCTATCAATTCCCATAATTATGGGATGGAGAAATTCATTACTTCTACTACTACCAAGTGTAAAATTGCTTTTTAGTTAATTAAAAAGTGTAATAAGTACATATTTTTAAAACCGTATGCCATTTTCATTGTGGACAATTTATTTTAGGACAGAGGAAGTAATACAAAACTAGGATTTGTACAAGAAATAAAGATAAGAAAAAAGGGTAAAACAAGTCGTAAATAACTCTAAAAAGAGAGAGCTATCAATACCTCAAAAAAATCTTTATCAAACACGTGCTTGGATTCTCATGAACACATCAATTTCATCCGAGTATGCAAGTGAAAGAAACTATATTCTCATGTGACAACCTTTAAAAATGTTTCCATTATTTTGCAGATTTCTAGTGTTGATCAAAGATACATTGGTGGCGAGAATCTGCTTGGTTTGGTGGATTCAAGTGAAGCTCAAGTTGGGATAAAAACCTTTGACGGCATTAATGGCGTTGACGATGATGATTTCTACGTGGTATTTTCTATGAATTTTGCAACACAATTGACAAAACGTATTAATGAGTTGCTTTTTCATGCCGTTTTGAGGCCGAACCAGCACGTGGAGATGGTCGACAAAGAGTGGGTTGACGTAACACCCTCATTAGATAACTCATATGAGTTCCGTTCTTGGATTTATACTTGTTTGAAAGGTTGTTCTTTTGACAAGATTTGTGTAATGAAAGTTGTGGATTAGATGTAGAGATTATATAGAACACACTTTTGTTGAATCAAGTTAATAGTTAGGTTATTAAGTGGCCTTTAGCTCAATTATAATTGTGTGTATATATAATCTTGCTTTTATGAGTTCAAGTCTTGCTAGGGAATTACTTTATCAAATTGTTGACCACTTTAGAAAAGATATATAGTTATGGTGGTTGCATGGCATGCAGATATTGCCATTTGTATTGGTATTAGAACAGTTTTTATAATCAACTTTTACTTTTGTCTAGTTAAAGTTTTATTTACTTGCTCTATTATGTTTAAAAAAAAAGGATCAGTAATCATTAGATTTTATTTTCTCTTGTCTTTGTTGGACCTAGATACTCTAAATTTGTAGAAATATTGTTTGCTAGAATTAAGAATCAAGAAGAACAGTGTATTTCTATTGATTAAACTGGATATTCAAAGAAAACATAAAGCAGTAAAATAATGTTGTGAATCATCGAATGCTTTTATTAAAAAGATAACAATTGAAGAACAAACGTAATCTCACAAGAATTTGCGTATAGTATAAGTCGGCTCCTTCAGGTGAGTTGATCCTGAGGCGGAGGCCTCCTTTTATACGCCTAGGTCTAACTAACTACACTATAAATTAGGCGTGGAACTTTGAGCTGACTAGTCTGCATCCTTATCTTTGACTTTCCTTGATTAGCGGAGCAGACTTGGTCAAGCCGCCTTTAAGCTGTTAGACGCTTGCGAGAATGTCTGGGCTAACGCGCGCTTTYCRTGAAGAAGGTAGCCAGATGCTCTGCATGAACATACAGAAGCTCTGCATATACAGAAGCTCTGCATATACTATGCAGAGGCTCTGGGTCTTGGAGTTGTTGATTTTAGTCAAGCGCTTATGCTTTTTGGCGCACAAGACTTGAACGTTAACGAAGATAGAGCGCGGGCTCTATATAACGGAACCTTCACTCTGAGTAAGAGCTCTGGTTCTTGATCCTCTGCATGAGAGCTCTTAGCCAGACAGCTTCAATAGACTAAGTCCTATTTGACTAGAGCAAGATACTTCTTATTTACACTTTTATAAGTTTGGGGTCTAACAATCTCCCCCAAGTGTAAATAAGAATGATTCTTACTTGATTTACGTGACAGATCTAATTGAAGATAGAGGTTAAAAACAACCTCTGGTTTACATTGACTATCTAATGAAATACAATACGATTGAAATTGAAATTACATTGAATAAAAAAGAAGGTACTTACAAAAGATAAGAGGTCTTAAACATTTTGAAGTTTAGTGAACTTCCTGAGAAGTTCACGAAACTTAAGCATATTTCGAATGGACCTTAGAATTATTTTGGCATGCTCCTTGGCTCCAGGGGAGTTGTCTCTGCTCCTGACCAGATTGTCTCTTATATAGCGCAGAGTAGAGTTGGAGTACTTGTAATTTTGGTTGTCTCGAAAGAAGATCTTTTGATTATGCTCGTTTCGAAACACCACTCCCACTTCTTGTTCCATCAGAACCGTCTAGGAGGGAATGTTGTTGATGCCATGTAATTCTTCATTTGGGGCAGCCACTGTCATTTGATCCGCTCCTAGATCCAGAGCTAGTTGGAAGTCGAACTTGCTTCTGTAGTCAAGCAGATCTATCATTGTTTGGCGAATGGCAGAGTTGGCAACAGCGAACTTCACTCCCTTGTCCTTCTTGTGGTTTGTAAAGTAGAACAGATGAAGAAGATCCCACGGATTTAGATTAATGAGGTCACAATCTGTGAACCTACATATCCGTTCGTGAGTCCTCTCAATTGTGTACTCGTAGAACACTATCTGATTATGTGCAAAGGTGCGCTTCTTTATGTCCAGGACTTGTTTTATTCCATGAGCGAAGTGGACTGTAGTGATTGGTTGAGTATAGCGATCGAGGAATCTCTGCCTGATGTGCTCTTGAGCCATCGGATGGAGACTGATCTTCTGGACCGGTGTCTCTTCCCTTTGGTTGTAGAGGAACTGGTAGATTTCCTCGCTATCTGCCTTGTCCTTGATGGGTTTGTCGAGGGGTGTTGGTTTGAACATGGCATCCATGCTTGCTTTGATCCATTGGACACGATCAGAGGGATGCTTCCATTTTTCCCGCTCGTTGTGCCTTCTGAGTCTGCTCTGTTTGGATTGATCGGTATTTGCTTCATCGCATGAGTGACAATCATGGTCCCTTGAGCAGGGACCCTAGCTCTGTGTGTTCTTGGATGTGGTGGAGGAGCAGCAACGGTTACTTCTTCTAGAGGAATGGCAACCAGAATGTGTAGTAGTGACGGATCAGCCACATTCACGGCAACCACCTCTTCTTCGTGTTGAGCTGTTGTTGAGGGAGCAGCCATGTCCATAGCATACTTTGTTGAGGAGGACAGAGCCAGGTCTGAGTCTTCTGATCCATAGGTAGATAGAAGGTCGATCACTTCTGTAGATTTGTGTGGCACGGCTGGCTCTGCCTCTGATGCCATGGGTATTTTCCCTTTGCGTAGTGCCTCTGCGTTGTCTGGCACTTGCTGGCTTTGTCTGCTCTGCCTTGATTGACTTTGATGGCGTGGGGCAGAGGACGATGGTGCAGAGGGGACAGCCAGAGGTGTTGTACTTGATGTGGCTGTAGGCAGGTTCTCCCCCTCTTGGCGATTTTGAGGACGAGACTTGTCTGGGTCCTCATCATCGTCAAGTCGCCTCCTCTTTGACGGTTCAGCACATGGAAATGGATCTCGTTGTCGCTTAGTTCTCTCAGCCTCTGCTCGAGACATGGATTTGATCACCTCCTCGATGGTCTTGAGGAGTTCGTCGATTGCAACGGCAACCCTTCACACTTCGTCATCTGAATGGTAGTTGAATCGTACGAGAGTGTCGTTGATGTTCTTTGCTGCTGTTGTGGCCTTGCTATTAAAATCCGCAGTGAAGTCCGCCACCTTCTGCAGAAGCCTGTCACCCAGAGCATTCATGGCGCTCTGTGTGACATAGTCCACAGGTACACTCAGAGGTATGAGGGCCTGGTTGTTGATCGACGTAGATGCCTCAACCCTTTGTAGAGATGTAACGACCTGCTGTAATGTTGCTGTATTGGTTGCCGTCAATTCCATTAGAGTGTTGATACGAGAAGCATTTGTCGTGGACTCAGCTCTTAGTACTGCCAAGGATGTTCGTATCTCATCCAGAGCAGGTGTAGAAGGTGACGGCTCTACACGGGCCATGCTGAGTTTTAGCTCTTCCAAGGAGCATCGCATAGAGGTGAAAAGGGAATGGAACTCTTCCCTAGTGACATATGCAGATGTTGTAACCTCTGACTCAAGGAGAATTCACTACCTCTGTTCTGTCAGGGAGAGTACACAAGGCTGGTTCAGAGCCAGGCAGAGGGCTCTCCATGAGTGGACTAGGAGACTGGTTGAGAGTCTCAAAGTCTGGTGCACCTATTCTTTGCTCTGGACAAGGTTGGGGGTTTATTTGTGCAGAGGAAACAAATTCCTCTGTATGGGAAAGTGGCGTGATATGGGGAGACATATCACTTATGTTTTCAAAGGTTACACCCTTTTGAGAGGGTGTTCCCTGTGGCGAGGTTTCCCTTTGGCTAATATAACCAGAGGCAGATGCAACCTCTGGTTAGATAGGCTGGTTAGGGTTCGAGGTGTGCGCCTCTGTTTCAATGATCTCTGTGTCTCGACCACCAGAGTCAGATAATGTGTTTGCACTTGGAGTGGGGTAGGTGAATCTGATGTGCTTATTTGGCCTAGGATGCTCTGTCCCACCCTGAGGCAGAGCAACTGCTTCCCCTCCTTCCTCTTCTACTTCCTCGCTTTCCTTTTCGTCTCCCTCACTCTCTGTCTCATTCTCTTCTTCGTCACTTTCTTTCTCCTCTTCTCCACTTCCCTCGCTTGTGTAAGACTGTGCAACATCGTCATAGTGCTCTTGGTCATCCTCTTGGTTTGGACTAGAGGATTGAGGCAAGGTTTGACGAGCCTCTTCTTCTGCTATGAGTCTGGCCTCTTCTCTTAGGCGAGCGATTTCTGCTTGAGGAGCCTTTTCGGCCCTCTCTTCCTCTGCTCGTTCTGCCTCAGCCTTCTTCTTCTTCTCCCTCTCAGATTTCTTTTTCCTTGCCTCCTCTTGTTTTCTTTCTTTTTCTCGTTCTTGTAGTGCTCTCACCCTCTCTTCCTTTGCTCTTATTCTTTCTTCTCCTGCTCTTACCGTTTCTCCCTCGGCCTGAGGCATTGATGTGTCCTCAGTTCTTTCTTCTTCTTTGGCTGCTCCTATGCGTACCAGGGTTCGAGACACTGGTTCTAGTGTCTCGCGTGTACGTTTGTACGCTCTTCTTATCTCCTTAGACTTCATGTAGCTCATGAGCCTCTTTGGAATAGGCCTTTCTGCTTCATAACCCACCTTGTGCACCGTTGGTCTGTATTGAGTGAGTACGTTGACCTTATGAGGAGGTAGATGACCCACATCAATATTGTTGTCATCAAGAGCCGGTCGTAGGAGAAGACCCAAGAATCGGGGAAACAACAAGGATGGCAGCTGTCTTCCTTTGGCCACTTCTTGATACTTTTTGACCACGGCAGCCTTGAACTCAATGTAGAGTATCAAGGAGTAGTCGAGAGACAAGTCGAAGAAAATGCCATAGACGATTTGGAGTACACTCGTGGAGCACATATCGAGGCTCCCTATCTTCCCTGTCAGCGAGCGATTGACCAATGTGAAAAGTGTATTCCACATTGGTGGTAAGTGTTGACGGCGATACTGTGACGGGTATTGAATGGCCTTGTTGTATCCAAGAACTTCAGGAAAGTCACATTTTCGTCCACGGAAGGGAGAGGAGCGTATTCAGAAAGCCCCAGATCAGTTTTGTTGGGATTTCCAGAACTCGGGAAAATAAGGATCTTGAAATTCGAACTGTGACGAATTCTTGTGTGGCAAAGACGAAGAAATCTCCTATGATCCCTCTTTGAGATTCAGTAACGGCGCAGGATTGCCAGTATTCTTGTATATATCTCTTAGGAACCAAGTCATCGGTGTTGGTCAAGGCTGGGTTCAAGAAGTGGTTTTGGAGAATGTTGATGATGGGATGGTATTTGGTGT